AGCAACTGAGCTACGAAAAGACACAGAGGAAACAAAAACGCACACTGCTGAGTGCAAGGAGCCGGTCAAGAAGGCTGCGCACTGCGCGACTCCAATCAGATGACGTTCTGGAAAAGACAAAACTACGCAGACAGCACAGAATTCATGCACAGGGTCTGGCTGGGGTGGAAAAGTATAACAAAAGAAAGCAAAGCAAAACAGTACAAAAAAAAAAAGAAAACAAACAAAATTCAACGATTGCTAGGGGAGGGGAAAGGAAAGAACGAACAGGCGGCAGGAGTTTCAGGGCAGCGAAACCGCTCCGCACGATACGACGGTTGCAGGAACCGCCACGATGAATTTGCCCGAGCCCACAGAATGTTAACGCCAAGAATGACCCCCATCGCGAACTCTGGGACTGGCGACCAGGCGTCAGCGTGGATTCATCAGCTGGGACAGACGCGCCACTCTGCTGCGGGCTGCTGAGAGCGGGGAGGCCGTGCCTATGTGGGGACAGAGGACACACGGGAACGCTCTGTACCGTCTGCTCAGTTTTGCTGTGAATCTAAAACTGCTCTAAAAACAAAGTCCATTTAAAAATAAAATAAATAACAAAAACATTGTCAAGTTTGTAAAACAAAGAACAACAACAAAACCAAAACAAAAAAAGGGGAAAAAACAAGAAAAAAAACTAGATCAACGGAATAGAATTTCAAGTTCAGAAATGAACCCGCATTGGCGGCGAACTGATCTCTGACAAGGGCACCAAGACCGCTCGCTGGGGGAAACACTGTTTTCAACAAATGGCGTCACAACAGATGGATACTCACATGCAAACTGATGGCCTTGGACCCCACCTCGCACCGTGCGCGAACGTTAATTGTTAACACAAGTGGACACCAGTGTCCCTTCTGATGTGCAGCACTGAGAAGGGAGTATCACTTCTGTGACAGTCCTGCCCAAAACGAACCGCCTCAGTCCAGTCATGTGAAAACGTCAGCAAAACCAGACTGAAGGCTGTTCTGCAAAGGAACAGACCCGTGTTCTTCAGGTGTCGAGATCACAAAAGGCGACAGACTGAGGACTGTGGGATTGTCCCAGATGGGAGGAAACTAAGGACGAATGACAACTAAATGCAGTGCGGGACCCTGGCCCAGAAAAAGGGCCTCGGGGGATGATCACTGAGATGTGAATAAGGTCTGTAGATCAGTTAATACATGTGAATTTCCTTGTTTTAATAATTGCACTGTCATTATATAAGATGTGAACGTTTGTGGAAGTTGGGTGAAAGGTATACAAACATTCCTTGTGCTAGTACATTAAATTAATCAATTATTTATTTTTTGAGAGTCTCGCTCTGTTGCCCCAGCTAGAGTGCCGTGGCGTCAGCCCAGCTCACAGCAACCTCAA